CAACACATTGAAACCCCATTAAAAAACTCAAAACAGATTGGCCGGGGATTTTAGCTCAGTGATTCGGTGGCCTGCCTTGCAAGCGCAAGGACCCGAGTTCAATCCCCAGTACCCAAAACAAAACAAAACAAAAAACTCAAAACGGATTGATGAATTAAATATAACAGCTAAGCCTATTGAAGTCTTAGAAGTTATGGGGTAAATCTTCATGACCTTAGATTTGGCAATGGATTTTGGACAAAAGCACAAACAACAAAATTTAAAAACAGATAAAACACACTTTTTAAAAACTGGAAACATTTGTGCATCAGAGAATATCAAGAAATGGGGTAGATCCCTGAGTTCACTTCCTGGTACCAAAAAAAGGGGGTAGAGTGTTTGCCTACCATGGGTGAGAGGCCAAGAGGCCCAGTTCTTCAATCCTTGGCATTGCAAAAAAAAAAAAAAAAGTTTAAAATGTGAACTGTTTTGGGACTTGGGAGGTGGCGCAGTGACAGAGTGCTTGTCTAGCGAGTGCCAGGCCCTGAATTCAGTCCCCACTACTGCAAAAAACAAAACAACAAAATCTTCCAGCAAGGGAGAGATATTTGCAAATCATATCTGTCAAGGGTCAAGAGTATAATATCTTTGTACAAAAAGATAAGCAACCCAATTTAAAAACGAACATAGCTGAGTATAGGGGCACATGCGTGAATTCTCAGCATGTGGGAGCCTGAGGAAGAAGACTGCTGCAAGTTCCTGGTGGGCCTGGGTTACATAGCGACCCTGACTCTCAAAAAAGCAAGGACTTAAACTGACATCTCTGCAGACAAGAACGTGAGAGGATGTTCGTTCTCGGTCAGTGCGGATACGGAAATATAAAACAATGAGATGGTTTCACACTCAATGGGATGATGGCTTTAGAAAAAGAAAATAAGTGTTAGAGAGGACATAGACAAACTTGAATTCTTATCTATTGCTAATGAAAATGTAAAATGATGCAGCCACTGTGGAAAATAGTTTGATAGTTCTTCAAAAAGTTAAACATAGGCCAGGGATTTAGCTCAGTGGTTCTGCCATCTGCTTTGCAAGTGCAAGGTCCCAAGTTTGATCCCCATTACAAAAAAAAAAAAAAAAGCTCACTGTTTATCATTGAACAAAATAAAACAATCTGAGGTTTCTTATATCCACTTTCAGTTCTTTTTTTGACTGAATAATAGTTCACCAGTTTATGCACATTTTGGCTATTATGAATAATGCTGCTATAAACATCCATGTAGTAAAAAACCAAAAAAAAAAAAAAGGGTGGGGGGGAATAGAAGCAAATTTTAAAGTGAAAAAAAGAAATTATCCTAACTGTATATCAAAATAACAGCTTATTGAGCCCAGCCTTTGCAACTTACTGATTTAGTAAGACCCTGTCTCAAAATGCAAAACTTGTATTTAATTTTTTCAAAATGAAAAAAAATATTTAAAGGGCTGGGAATGTAGCTCAGTCCAAAGGCCCTATGTTTAAAAAAAATGTAATATATCACACAGGGAATATATTTTATTTTTGAGACAGGGTCTCACTATGTAGCTCATGCTGGCCTCAAACTCATGGTGATCTTCTACCTCAGCCTCCGAGTGCTGGGATAACAGGCGTGAACCACAATGCCCGGCATGTAATATAAGTTTTTTTTGTTGTTGTTTTTTTTTGGTGCCAGGGATCAAACTCGGGACATTGCGCTAGCGAAGCAGATGGCAGCACCACTAAACTACATCCCAGACCCTATGTAATATAACTTTAAAAAGTAATTTTATAAGGCTGGGCGTGGTGGTACACACCTGTAATCCCAGCACTCGGGAGGCTGAGGCAAGAGGATCACTGTGAGTTCGAGACTAGCCTGAGCTACATAGTGAGTTCCAGGTCAGTCTCAACTACATAGTGAGACCCTGTCTCAAAAAAACCAAAAAGAAAATAATAATGATTTTATAATACTTTTTTTTTTTTTGTTTCTTTGAGATGGGGCCTCTCTAGTAGTTCAAGCTGTCCTTGTCTTTGAGCTCACTTTGTAGCCCAGACTGGCTTCATCATGATGTTCCTGCTGCCTCAGCCTCCCGAGTGCTGGGACTACAGGCACATACCACCACACCTGGCAATACTTTATACATTATAAATCCCCCCCCCAAAAAAAATATGTGTATGTAT